TTTATAATTAATATTATCTTTTAAAATTTATTTTTTTATTTTAACATATAAATAAATATTTAATATAATTTTTTAAATCTGAAAATTTATAATTTAAAAAAAATCTATAATAATTTTAATTAAATATATAATATTTATTATTATTAATTAATTATAAGGAAGGTAAATTTGATAAAATATTTAAATCTTCAAATTTGCAGATTTTTTAAAATAATATAATTTATGTTTTTATCAAGTTTTGACAATTTTGAAATGATTTTTTTGAATTTTACTTATTATTATTTAAACAATTTGCTAAACTTCTAAAACTTCTAGTTTGAATTTGTAACATTAATTACAAATATGGTGGAATTTAAAATTGTTAAAATCATAATATTTTATAGTAATTTTATTTTCATTATCTATATAAAGTTAAATTATAATAATGTATTGAAAAAATCATAATGTTTTATTTATAATAATTCAAAGTCTTTCTTTATATTGAAATTAATAATAATACTTTATATTTTTTCGATAAATTTCGATCATGTGATCGCCGAAAATTTTGTGATTGATTATGTTAATCGTTCGAAAGCTGACATCTATAAAAAGCAAATCCGGCATATGACCAAAAATAAGAAAAACAAAGTAATCCGCTAACGCAAAAAAGAAAAGAAGAAAGTTCAAGATTTTTCGAGCTTTTTTAACACTGATTGTAATGTAAATGTAAATGATTTAATTTTTTGGGAAAAAAAAAAAAAAAAACGCCAAAGAATTCTAAACGCGTTCGTGAGTACCTAATCAATGCGAGAAGATATGGCAAATATAGAAAGTAGGCTTAATCGGTCATTTTCAAGAAATGTGAATTTAAAAATAAAAATCTTTGTTATAACGACAAATGAACACACATTGTTGGTAATTTAACTTTGAATTGTTTCTCAGTGAAAACTCATAAATCACATATTACTTGTGGAGTTTTAATCCCGACGCTTATGCACCTATCCTGTGTTTCAAATACATTGAAAAAAAAGCCAATTCGTGAAGAAATTGAATAACGACGCTCTTTTTATCGCTAGTAACCAAAAGAGGAAATTCAATAATTGATTATCAAGTGATATAAACAAGTCTTTGTTGCTTCCCGGTGACAAACTTATGACTGAATAAACGCGACATGTTCTTCATTAGGATAAAAAAACGCGGTTTAAAATAAAAAAGTTTTAATTTATTAATGAATTAAAACTTTTTTTTCTATTAACCTTTAAAAAGAAATTATTTGGAATGCATTGAATAATAATTGTTTCTTCAAAGAAAGGCTGTGTATGTTGTGCTCATATTAAAAGACAATGATAAGAAAAAAGATATTTTGATAATAAATGCATCTCAACTAAAGAATTAAATCAAAAGAAAGTTCTGCAATTGAATGTCAAACAAAGTGAACATCCAACTATGTGATATTTTAGAGCATCTAAAAATTCTTATACTAAGATTAATAATTTCGAATTAGAAATAAAAACTTAATCTATCACTTCACTTCTACGAAGAATACTATTTGAACATTTATTCGAAAAAGAATTCTCGTGCGTTTTGTATCTTCCGAGAATTCTTATTATACCACTATTTTATCAACAAACATTCACTCATTTGAGCGATATCTGGTCTGGTACCTGTCAATTATAGTTTAGATAAAAGCATTGTTTAATTAAATTTTTACAAATGGTAATTTTTTTTGGCTTTATGATCAAGATTAGATAGAGTAATAACAAATTATACAAATTATCATTAATGTGGTAAAGATCGCCGTATCGAAAAAAAAGTTTTCTAATAAAGAATTCGATTTTTTCTTTTCCCTGCATATTTGATGATGATACCCTTTTTGTGCAAGAATTATTATTAATATTTTTTTTTTTAAAAAAAAAGAAAGCATTTTAGAAGTCATGAGACTATTAATTTATTCTTATAAGAAAGTCTCCGGCAAACTAATACACAATTACATATAATACATATATTAGTAAACGCAATAGCTTTGTCGATCATTCGGATAGAACTTAGCATATAGATTTCTTTATTTAATCATCGTATGACCTGAAGTGCTCACATGAAAATTTTCATCTTTTGTCAAATTATCTCCAAAGAATATTTTTTTTTTTTTTTTTTTGATTCTATATAGAAAACAATTGCTTCTTTGTATCTTTGATTATATTTCCTTTTCAAGTAGTATTATGACTTTTTTTTTTTAAAAAAAAAAATCTTGGCATAGAATTTGTCAGATGAGCGGTATAAGGAATATGGTCGTTTGACATTATCATGCAATTTTTTTTTTAAAAAAAAATTGCTAACTCTGACCGGAATCAATGAATGAACAATTCCCATCGCCACTATCTTTAGAACGGGTGATTTTCCATCAACAGAAATATTATTATTTAGATATTCCAAAAAGAGTAATTCTCATAACACAAATTTGCATACTAAAATTTAAGTGATTATTAGTAAAGAATTACCGTTACTTTGAATTCGAAATGAATCTGTATCGAGAAAATCGGACGTAGAAGGAAATTCTGCATAGAGAATATCTGATGTGAAGTGAAATTCTATAACGAGAATAATGGACGCGCGTTCGTGTGGCACACACCTAAAAAAAAAATCCAGATTGTTGCGTCGAAACTCATAAAAGACCAGATGCATAAAAATGTACGTATCGGGTAACATTTAGGTTTTCGGTGAATTGCTTGGTGCGATTTATTTCCTTGAATGTACGGTTCGGTTATGGTCTTACGTTCCAGTGGCATGGCATATCATCTATAACTCGTGATCAAATTGTAATTTCCTATATTTAGGTCAGGATGAATTTGTTCATAACTGATTAGATAACCTTCATTGTGGGACACCATTGTCATACATCTTTGCATTCAATATATCAAAGTTTATCAGTTGTTATAATTAATATCATTATTATGAAAATGGTAATTGTTTTGATTAGCATCGACACCAAAGAATTGAAAATCTTAAAATATTGACACAGATTGATATCGTTCATGTATTATTTATTAATTTTGAAAGATTGCGGAACGGAATAACTTTTTGAAGATTAACCCATCGTTTTTCATCGGTATCCAATCAGTTTCGAAATTTTTCGTAATCCTAGATTCAACTATCAAGGCCGAAAGAATTATATAGACCCACCTCGACTTGTCAGAAAAAAAATCCTATCTCGACGTGGCAGGAACATTTCGGAAAGTCTGGACAAAGGTATCTAGAATAACGGAAATCAAGATTATAAAGAAGACCTTGAAGAATACACATGAAGAATACACATGCTGGAATTGAAATTCCGAAAAAAAAAAGTTGCCAAATCAAATTCGTTCATGCGATAATAATAATTTGTACGATCAGCAGGTAAAAATCATTTACATTAATTAATATTACATTATTTACATTTCAATTTACATGGATGGATCGACGAATATCCTATCCTATTTTTAACTGATTTTGCAGTTCGAAAATTTTTACTACTGCGGATCATGTGAAAGTGCCGCCTTCAAGAATTACACTATCATATCATAACATCAAATTGATAATCATGATTAAATTCATGTTGACTCATAAGAACAAAATCTTCTAGTGTTCCCAACATTAGGTTTGCGGGCGACCGTCTTTATTATTATTCTTTGTAAATTACATTAAAATATTTGATTTTTGAAATCGAATTATCCATCAAAATTAAGTTTCATATCGCAAATAAAGTCAATTGATTCGATGAAACAGTTGCCCCTAATAATTTTTTCTTTGTAAAACTTTCCTACATCATTGCAGATTCAAGATGACTTCTTATAAATTCGTTACTATCTTTTTTGATACGAAAATTTTCTTTTATTAGCCTTTTTTGCCCGTTCTCGAAACAAAACAAGACATGAATTTAAAACACGGACAAAATACACTATTGTCGCAGTATTCTGCGTTCTAGCTGGAAATGCATCCGCATTCCGCAATTTATATGTTGACAGAATAATATATTCAAAAAATACTGTATAATTGACTGTAAAAGCCAAATATTCTTTTGGTGTACATAAATATTGTGATGCTTATTCAGCAGAGAAAGAAAGAAGGATTGAGAAAATACTTTTACATGGAAAATCATATTTCTTGAAACTGTTTCTGGAAACAAAATGAAAAATGAAATCATTTATTTGTGATGCGCCTCTTCATTATCCTTTTGTTAAAACTTTCAAGCATTTAGAAATTTTCAGAAAATCGATTAAAATACTTATAATCATAAATAGTTCATAATAATACTACCGCATCAATAAGATTTCTTAATTTAATATAATATAATTGTAGTACAATCATAAAGACTTAGTTTATATATTTTATGCATAATAGTTTGCATATAACAATCCTCTTTGAAATTCCCGCAAATTAATAAGGTAAATAAATAAATAAAAAATAAAATATAGTGTATATTTAAAAAAAAAATAGTATAGATTTTAATTGTTTGTTTATCAGGTAAATGGCACATTTGGGTGATAAATTAATTCAAGCTGCAAAGGGTTTAGCACAACACAAATTATATTATATTTTTTCCAAACATCACAAAAAATAAAACCCTATGTTACTTATTTTGCCGATGCCTATTATATATAACTTTCCGAAAATAGGTTAGCTTACTATGAAATTAATTTTTACATTTACAAACTATCTTCTCCTTCAAAACACCAAAAAAAATAATTAAAATACGATCGACAGACATTTCTTTATAAATACCCAAGATTCGGGCACCTTTTTTTTCTTCAGAATTTTTATTTACTTTCTCAAACGAATAAAAAACACTTTCAAATACTATTTTATATCTATTTTAACAATTTTTTTTTAACAAAATCATTTTTCAAAAAAAAAAAAAAAAAAAAAAATAATAATTTATTTAAAATTCGTTTCTTCAATATTGGCAAATTTCTTTCGATAAATTACGTTTTCGAAAAAATTTTTTTTTTCGCTTTTCTTTTAAATTCGCGTCACTAAAAAAAAAAATGGGAAAATCAAAAGCACTTCAACTCGCACTTGAACAACTTTCAAAGCAACAAAATGATATTTCTACCTCGTTTCAAACTTCGGCCTCCTCAACTTCATTTCAAGCCGCTTCAACTCTTCCTTCCAAACGCCCAAAATGTGATGATGTTCCTGAAGATTTGGACCTTAACGATGTTTATTATCCAAAATATTCGGTTCTACAATTAATCTCAACCCGAAGAAAGCCTCGAACACAATCAACCCCACCAAGACCACCTAATTCTTTCTTCCTCATGAAGAATTGTTATATGTTGGAATTAAGAAAATTGGGTTATAGGTTTTGTATGCCTGACGTTTGTCGTCAAAGTAAGCAAATTTGGTCAAATATTCCTATCGATGTTAAAGAGAGATATGATAATTTAGCGTTACAAGCGCAAATTCTTCATCAAGAGATGTATCCCGGATACAAATTTCAACCAAAGAAAAGGCAAATTTTTAAATCACACGTTTTTCCTACCGAGGAAAATACCGTCGATAGTAGCATGATAAACACCTTTAGCATGACGAACTTTCTTGCGAATAATTCAACCACAAAGAATGATATCAAAACAAAAGATTCAGAACTTTCAGGGTCCCCACGATTGCGTTCACCGCCTCAAACTCCTCCCCAAACGATATCTTCCCCAACAGTTTCCTCCACTTCATCATCTTCAACTGTATCGGAATTAGATTTTTCACCAAGCACTTCCCCTGTTCCACCTTCATATATACCTCCCTCAATAATTAATCAACATAACCAATCTTTACTTCCTGTTCCCATCAACTCAAATGCTCCAATTGATCCCGAATTATTTTATGAATATAATGTAATAGATCCTTACTCTTACTACCATCAAACTCATTCGCTTAATGCTGATCATTATTATCCAGAAGTTTGTGGATATAATTCTTTTAATAATTACTTTCTTCAAAATCCATCCGTTTCTTCCTCTGAAACCGATAGCTTTTATTCACATTCAATAGATGCACAATTTATCTCTTACTCACCAGATGAACAAGTCTCGTACAACTGACAATGTTTCTCGATAGATGAAATTAAACGTTTTAGAAATTTAGAATATAAACTTTTTATTTAATTGTATTTATTTTAATGATCTCCCCACCTCCGAATTGTAAGGACTATAAAGATTTTTTTTTTAATTTTCCGTTTGTCTTTTTTTCGTATTTCTATGTAGATAAATGTGTATGCGTTTAGTGCATACATTATTACATAACGTATATTATTTTTAAGATCACTTTATGCTTTTTGTAAATTACATTTTCTTCCATGCATTATATTCTCTGGCAAAATCTCAAATCTGTATTATATTAAATCTTTTCGTATCTATATTTTCTTCTTCCTTCCAATTTTCTTTAAATTATAAATTTTCAAGTTCAAATTGTATATTTACCATTTCAGAAATAAACTTGATCTGTGATCGTTATTTAAAAATCATATATACTTTAAGGTTTTTGAAGTAATTCTTTAATATAAAAATATTTCATTAGTAAATTAATTCTTGTGCGATAATAAATCCGGTTTAAAAACAAGTTTAAGGATGCAAATTAAAAGAACACGCAATTGATCAGAAAAAATTTGATTTGACAATTTACAAATTTAAGAACGAAAAAGGAAAGTGGGTTGATCACAAACAAATTCCTGCAAATGGTGAACAAAATTACTATTTTTTTTTCTTATCACTTTGATGCAAAAATTTTTAATTAAAATCTACGAGTAAATATTTAGATTTGGAGAAAAACCTTTGTTGTTATTGGAGCACAAATTAACTTTGAAACACAACATCGATTTGACCCTTTGAATGTTTTCATGTTGTCTCTTTATAATTCCAACGAACCCATCGATTTGTTCTTTTTTAACCTTTTTTAATATGTGGCTTTATTTGTTATGACATATTGTTTATACTAACCTTTATTACTGTTTTGCGTATTTCATACTACCTGCATCTTTTTTAAATTGTTCTGTGGTAAAAAAGGATTGGTGAAACGATTTTTAGAATAGGGAATAGAAGCATCAAATTTAGAATGTCTAATTGTTTGCCAAAAATAAAAACTAATTTCCGACGCAAACTTTCATGATATCATCGATTTCAATCCGATCCTAAGTTACTGAATTTACGTCAACCTTCAGAATTAAAAGTAACCGAATCGTCTTGATTTTTTCATGACATAAAATCTCGTCACGAAAATCAACCTTTTGAATATGAATTTTTTCAAATAAATTCAGAGTTATTTTCAAAGGTTTTATTCCTTTCAAGAGCTTTTTCATTTCCCTGAGGAACAATCGACACCAAAAATTTCCTAATTTTTCAGAAACAAAAAGAATTGCTGCAGATATGGTAAGCATGATGATTCGTTGAAATTTGAAATCACAATTATTTTAGTTATTTTTAAAAATTTAAAAAAAGATCATTAATTTAGAGATACATGGATAAAACACACTATGAAATTTCCAAATAAAGAAATTGTTAAAAATAGAATCTGATCAAATTTTGATTGGCATCCATGTTTATTAATAATAATTTTTTTCTTTTTTTTTAAAACAAAGAATTTTCATATTAAAAAAATAAATAAATAAAATGAATACAAAAAAATATTGAGACTTTGTTACGGAGTGAGCACTCCAGAATGCGTCAGGTCATGTTTTTGAATGTCATGATTATGTAAGTATGTAAATTTACAATATAAAATATTGTCATTGAGTTAGCGTTCAAAACGTGGATTCCATATTTTTGGATGGTGTGGTGAGTTTAATACCGCCAATTTTTTTATTTTTTTATTTTTTACGTACTTCATTGCACTACCTCAGCAAAAACTTTCGGAGAAATCGGAGTTACAGTATCAGTTTTCAATTTGTTTAGCGATCATCATTTTTGTTTCATGCAAACTTCTAAATTAAAGGAATTCAAATATTTCAGAATGTATATTTTTTACTATATTTGAGAAATTTTGTGATTGGAATCTTTCCATTGTTATTCAAATTGGAAATGTTGAAAATGATCTTTTTTTTATTAGGATTTCAGAAATTCTATTAAATCAATGAATTACTAATTCAATTGATTTAAAGAACATCATCCTTATCAAATAAAAAATAAAATAAAAAAAAAATAGGAAAGGGAAAAAAAGATAATTTCAAATTCTACCAATTCAAACCTTTTTTTATTTATGTAAATCAATTACTCAGTTATCCTTCCTCCTCACCTAACATGGTCATCATGTGAAATATATGAACTTCCAAGAAAAGTGATCGACAAAGGAGAGTCAAAAGAACTTTCCATTACTCATTTAACATGAACCTGTTTTCGTTCTTTGATAAAGAAGTTTCAAAGGGATTAATTCTTATATCATGTACCTGGTTATTCTAAATTTACAACGGGGTCATTGTGCCGATAGAACACAAAACGTATCATTAATCATGCGGTAGATTTGACATTTCTTTAAAGAATCTATCCAAAACATTTAATATGTTTTCGGATTAGAACCTTTTTTTACATTATTTTTAGCTGTGATATATTTAATATATCATAATTTGTTAATTTGTGATGCATCTTACTGCATTGTTGGAACAAAAAATAAATTGTGATAAAATTTTTATTTTTAATGGAGTGAAGAATAATAGGTGATAGATAGAATCTTATCAAAGAACAATCTCTATTCGTGTGGAAACAGGAAAATTCAAGAAAAAAAGTTTTTCTTTGTTTACGCATAATATTGTCAATAAGCTAAAAATGAAGATGAAGAGAAAAGTTTTTTTTTTACCATTGAATGTTCTACCTTGGAATGTTTCAGAATAAAATATTCTTTTTTTTTTTACCATTGAATGTTCTACCTTGGAATGTTTCAGAATAAAATATTCTTTTCAACTAAAATCATCATAATAAATTCTTTCAATTCATCAATTTTTAATAGAAGTGTAAATTTTCGATTTTTACATTAAAAGTTCATTCAAGGAAACCTTGGAAAGTCTTGGAATACCTTTTCTTTGTCAACCAACAATCATTATTAACCAATTCCTTAATTTATTCAGTTAATTATTATTTTTGAATTTGATGGATTGTCTAAATTGTCAATTTGTTATCATCGAAAGTTCTTTCAAGGAAACCTTGGAAAAGTCTCAGAATAAATATTCTTTGTCAACCAAAATTATTAGGAATCACTTAATCTTTTTTTCATCTCATCAATTCAATATTATTTTTTGATGAATTATCATAATTGTTGAATCTCCTTTCTAATAATAATTATAAGAATAATGGATAAGGTTTGTGGGCGGGTGGTACGAATTTGCTCAATTTCCCTTTATTTGAAAACGATATATTGTATTACATGAGTTAAATGCGGAACACGTGATCCTTCCAGTACATAAATCAGAAAATTGATTTCCACACGCACGTGTCTGATTCACAAACTTTCCTTTGATTTATTACCAATTCGGGTTCGATTTAAAAAATTAAGAACTCTGCGCAGCACTAAATGGCGAGCTTCAATGAGATTTACTTATCATACAACCTTCCATAAATGTTAACCTGAAAAAAAGAAGTTTCACTTTTCTCGGCTTTTTTTTTCTTGAAGAAAAATGTCGTGTGACACGTTTTGAGGTTTGATGTGATGGTGATGGTTTATGTGATAATGTGATAATTATATGACAGAATTATAAAATGCACAGGTAATAGTTCTCTATATAAATACATTCTAAGTTTATTTTATCTTAAATATGTACTTGAATTTGATAAAAAAAAAATAAATATTGATTAATTAGACAAATATATTTTTGGCCAAGTAACCTAATAAGTATAAAGACGGGATTTGATTTCCGCGCCAACAGAGTTTTATTTTTAGATTTTCACTACTATAAACGAATGGCTAACATCATTCAAAATTAGAAATGTAAAAGGTCCAAGTGAACTTAATACATAAAAATCTAATGCACTGGACTTACACAACATATCAATTTATTTTAATTGGTTAAAAGTTGTAGATAAATTTTAAAATACTCCTTCTTCTTGAAAATAAAATAAAAAAAGAAGGAATAAAAAAGAAACTCCGAGTTTTCGAATACTTAACCAAGGCGATTTTATATCTAAAAAGGGTTAAGGTTGCTTGGCCAGAACAATTAATTGATCACGAGCTTCGCGAAGTTCATAGGAGAAATTATTAGTTCATTCATTATTTGCCAAAATAAGCCGTCATTTAATTACTTTAATTACTCCCCTAATTAATCCAAGTACAGTTAAAAACCATCACGGCGCGCGTTATAACCTTTTTTTTTTTATTATTAGAATAATATATATCGGTAAATTCGTAAATATCACATTAATACGCATATATACATTAAACTATAAAAAAATTTTTTTCTTTTATCTTTTTATCTATCTCCGAATCTCCGTAAACAAAGTAAATTGTTGAGAACTATAGCATTCCTTTGTGCATCACAGTGCGATTTTTTTTGATCAGTCAACACATCCTAGCAATCTGGTTTTTTTTTATTATTTACTTGTGCGATTGTGCGATTATGCTTGTTTCCTTGTTTCAATGATCGATATTGTTCTAAAACAGGTTTATTTATCTTCAATAACGTATTAAATTAGAATAAACATATAAATATTGAATTTTAACTAATTTTAATACTTTTCCATATTGTTTTGGTGTTATCGGAATAAACAATTAATTCCCTTTTATATTGATCTCAAAGGAAAGTTTCGAAAACACGTTAAAACCTGTATTAGATTATTTCAAATATACAGTATATTTGACCCGATTGTTTGCAAAATTTATGTTTTGTTTTCCGTTAAAATTTATTATATCACATGATACAATTGCGCCACAAACGTGATATGTCATTTTTAAATTTCAGCTACGATTTTTTATTACCAAAATCTCTCTATCGTATTAATCAAACTAAAAATGATCCTGGTGAACGCCAATATATGAATTAACGAAATATGAATCAACACGTTTAATTTAATTACGATGTTGTGCTTCAGGATATTTTGAATTGTATAAAGAATTTATGTGATGCTGATATATCGCCAAAAAAGATGTGGAGGTTTCTATCCAACGACATCTTTAATTGCGATGAAACGGGTTTATTTTGCTCATAAATGTGTAAGTTCTCTAAGTCTTAATTTTTTTCATTCATCCATAGTAATCCCTTCTTTCATCTTTTTTTATCATCTCCTGAGATACAAATATATACAACTTTTTAGGATGAAAATATCAATATCTATTGGTGTTTCGCTCTTTACTATATATTTTATTGGGTAAGTGATTAGGGTGATTAATCTCTGCTATTGATATCGATTTCAAATGCTGTATATCTATCTTGTAAATGGTTGACAAGGTAATTTATTTATTTAATAATTGTTATTTTGTCGAGAGACTTACTCCCTTGTTGATTTTTATACAAACTATACAAACTTTGTTCTTTCCGTAAGATATTCTACAATTATGGTAAAAAGTGTTTTTATAAACCATACCTTATTTAGTTATAAACATTTCCTTTTATAGAGATTTATTTTGAGAAAAAAAACCCTATTTTTATATTCTTATTTTTTAGTTAATATGTTGTATCATGCATATTATGACATTGCGCTCGAACCTTGAAGGTAAAAATCACAACCTTAAAAAATATTAAGAAAAAGGATTGAACAAAGAAATAATTGATTTTATTTTTTTCTTAAAAGATCGACGGATACTTTTCCTAAAAAACAATTAATAATGGTAGGTTTTTTTCCGTATATTCATATCCTTTCTTGGAATCATTCATGAATCATTGATAGATATTAAATGCTGATTCATTTTGGATTCGATTATGATAATACACACATATCAAGGGTAAGAAAGGAATCCTTCACTAATTAGATAGGAATATAAGGAAATAAAATAGTATCAAATTCAATAAAATCTTTGTCTATTTTGTCCACTTTAAATACCTCAGTTAAATTAAGCAGAATTATTGAAACGTTAGGCACGAGGATTTAGATTTTTCAAAACTTTTAAAAAGTTTTCATTAACAATTAAAATTTCATTTTAAGTTCCGATTGACAACCCTGAAAAAAAAGCCATGAGTTATAAGTTTTATTATCGTGAAGGATCATAAAGCTTCAATCGAGGTTAGGTTTTCAAAGAGATTACTTTTCGAAACGTAAAATATTAATGATCTTCGTATCTCAATATTTTTTGAAACTTTTATATTAACGTAATTTTTTTAGCTCGAATAAATATAATTGATGTACGGACGAGATTATTAGTTCAAAAAGTTCATTATTGTAATTTATTAACATTCCAAACGAGTTCACACGTGATCCAGATTTGTTCGCAAAAATATGGTCGAGCAAGCATTATGACACG